TTTCAAGGCCACAGCCGCGGTCCGGAAGCTGTCGACTCGATTTGCCTTGGACAAGGCGCTGTGCTGGATGTGGCGCGTCAGAAAATTGTTATCAATTGCAAGTTGCGGCACCCAGATGAGAATGAAACAACTCGTGGTATCATACCCTTTGACCGCATTAGGGAGGACTGGTATGAAACGGGACCAGGCTGGATCTTGGACCACTATGTCACGGTCGAACCGAGAGGGTCGCCACAAGCCCAGGAAAGAACCGTGGTTCACCAGCGTCCTAGCAGCCCACAGTTCATGCTCCTCATCAAGCGCGAAGGCGACGGAAATATTTGGCACTGCCTCATGGAAATTTGGTCTATGATGATGACTTTTGACCTGCTGCGCACGACACCTGATCCATCACGCGACGACGGGGGCCCCTTTTTCGGCGACCGCCGAGACTTTCTCGACGCCCAGGCTGTCGTGCTTGACGACCTCGACGACGGAAAGTTTATGGATCTTTGGACTATGTTTACCGGCCGTCCCGTTGTTCGCTGGAAGGACCTCTTGCGCAACCCGGAGCAGGTTCGCGCCTTTTCCGAAACGCCACGCAATGTCATCATTCCCCTTCCCGGCGCGGGCAACCCGCTCTGGCAAATCAACTGGGATGACCACGAATGCCAGCACGCACCCATGCTCAAGGTATTTGTGCAGCGGGTTCTGCGTTTCTATGGGCTGCCGTTGACAACGAAGGGGACCCGGGATAGGCTCTCCGCCAAGGCAGATCATCGTTCATCGCCTGTCAACGTAACATTCATCAACCGCACCGGCAGCCGAAAGCTGCTAGATCATGAGGCGTTGTTGGCCGCTCTCGCCGCTGAACACCCACACGTGCGGATCCAGTCTGTCGACTTTGCCGCTATTTCCTTCAAGGAACAGCTTCAGCTTGTGCAGGCGACGGATGTCTTGCTAGGTGTCCATGGCGCGGGGCTGATGCATACCATATTTATGCACGACGGTCCTGGGAAGGCTGTGGTGGAGATTCGACCAAAAACAAACGATTTCAGGGGGGTTCGGAACATGGCTGTAATGAAGGGTTCGAGTTATTTTACGTCTTTTGCTGAGCGGGTACCAAAGGGAGGTCTAGAACAGCAGCCAGGAGCCCGGGATGATTGGCACTGGGATGATGTGAGGATTGCCCAAGATGTATTTCTGGATATGATGGATGCAGCAATTAGAACAGTGTCTCATTCAACTTGAAGAGGCTAGTGCTTTTTGAATAAAAGAAAAAAGCACTATCATGGGAGCTTAGAACGAAGGGCCACAGGGCTAGGTATGTAAAAGTGCCTAGGTTGCCAAAATTACTTTCTTTACTTTTCAAAAGCAAGATCTTCCAAGAAAAAAAGCTTGCTACTGCTTGCCTTAATAAGTACTACAAGAAGCTTGTTTTGAATAAAACCCGTTTATGCGTAAAAGTGACTTTGCTGGGTCGTAGTAATCGTATTTGACCCTGTCTGCCTGTGTCCTATGAAGCCGTAACTGAAGCTGATGTTTGCCTTGTGTAACATCATTGCCTGGTCGCATTCTAGAAGGCCTTCAAGAGCGTGGGGTCCGATTCATGCCCAATCAGTGGACGAGGGCATTGGGCCGGCGCTTAATTACACGCATCGAGTCTGTCAACCTCCCGGTCCGCAGACTCCGCCTCCACCACCCTCGTTCCAATCAGTGGTACCCAACGGAATCTCCCAAACTGCGCCGCAAACAACAGTCTCTGGGGGTGCCACCCGAGCTTATTGCTTCTTCTTGTCCCTTGCCTTGCTCATGCATCGGACGGGCCCTTGCTGTCGGCATCAAAATGCCGAACCCTCCCCCGGGCCATGCGCCCCATGCCCGGGCTGGGCAGCGTCAGCAAAGAGGGCGTTGGTAACTTGAATAGTTGGTACAAAGTACAAACACTAATCCGTAGTTACATTGCATTACCCTTGTGCTCCGACCTGCCTCTACCTTACATTCATGATCTCGGTAACCGGGTTCTTGAGGCAGATCGTGATCGACCCCGGCTCCATTCCAAGTATCCGTCTGAGCTATGCCGGAAACTCAACAGGCTGGGTTACAGCTGCGAGAGGCAATGCTGAATGCAAGCCCCATCGGGGGCCAACTGCATATCGGTGTAAGTCACCTGCCAGTCCAAAGTCGGCCTCTTCTCTCGCGGTATCATGGTCAGCCGGTGTGCTGCCTGTCTTCTCTTGCACCAACGCAGGCACTCTATCGACTCATGCTGGAGTTGGAGGTCCCCCCTTTGGCTTAACATTTGTCTATAAAGAGAATTCAATTTTCGATGCAAGAACATCTTCTCCCAGAGCATTCAAGTATACTTTTTCTCAGGCCCGCCACTTCCTCTACCGTCTCTAGTCCGGCTTCTTTCCGGAATTTATCGTTCACCAGTTCTCTGTGTCTTAAGAGCTTTCAAGTTACTTTGCAAACCCCAGCAAAACGCTTCGGCTCCACCGCTTTACCTCAACTATTTGTCTCACCCAAACCGACTGTTCGATTCCAGCATGTGCACCTGGGAAATCGTCGAGTACTCCTGCGGCGATTCGGAGCGCAGAAGGATGAAATACTCCTGCGAGTACACTCCTCGCTTTACCTACGGTGAATGTGTTTACGACAGGAGACGCGACGCCGCTCGAACTGTCAGGGTGTACAGCGAGCAGATCTGCTCCAGATGCCGGGAGTTGTTCAGATACGTCAACTTCGACTAGCAGGCACAACAACATGTGCCTAAAAACCGCATTATCACCCCGACCAGATTTTCGGTACAATACATCACATCTACCCGGCTGTTATTTCCGTCCGCTTGAGCTTTGGCTGACACTCTGATTCAGGCAAATTCCCATTATCAACGCCTCAACGAGCATTGGGCCAGGACACCGGACGGGCAAGATTTTTTTCTGGGTTTTCTTTTCTTTTGCCTCCTTTGGATTCATAAACTTCGGCATTTTGGGAATAGAGGATAGGAGAAGAAGGGAATTATGCGCTTAGACAGGACTCAGCATCACTGCATGGGGGAGTTTAGGATTTTCAGATTCGGAGTGGGGTGTGCGATTTCAATTTTATGGTTTTTCCGGTTAACAGTCAGTCAATCCTTTTCTCAGTAACATCTCATAGAATTAGATAGCCCAAGCACTTGGATCATTCCACCCATTACTGCTCGTTGTCTCTCTGTTCGCCTGTCACTCTTAGACCACAGTGTCAAGTTGAGGCATGGATAACTAAAACTTACGCCTTCCCCCTGCTTCCGGCTTGCAGAAGTTAATCGTAAATTTAGCGAGATGTACTGTATTCCGGGCCAACAATGCTCTGTCTTTGTCACGCGATATTTGCTAACCATGCCAGCTTGCGGCACCTGGCAAACACGGATGAGATACGGCCCCACGCCGGCGAAGTGGACACCCCGGCTCCGGCAGGCCGGACCCCTGGCCGGTTAGCCATTGGGTTGATCCCGGCCCACCCGGCATCGCTTCTGACCCTCAAAATGAGGAAATTCAACGGATAACTCTTGTGCCAAAGCGTTATCGATTGCAAACAGCAACCGGACTCTCGTCAAAGACAAAGCACCGCCGTTGAAATTTGAAAATGGCAACACCGCCGCCTGGCAGTTCGTGACTTGGTGACGATGGCGGAGTGCGGGAGGCTGAGGCCAAAAAAGGCCCTGAAACCTCCTGCCGAGATACGGAACTGCCGCCACGCCACACCCTCGCATCAATTTTGAGTTATACTACGCTAGTTTAAGACAAGACCAGCCGTGCTGCGGCAGAACAAAGGCAACCCGAAATGGGGGCCTTGTTGGCTGCTGATCTCAAGCAACCCCATTCGGGGCCATCTTTGAGTGTTACCCTCAAGATAGGCTGGCTGGCTGATCAGGGCTAAGTTGACCATTATGTGTGACCGCCTGGCAGTGACATCTCGTGTGGGGTGATCCCCAACTTCCCAACTTTAGATCATGGTCGCGCAGCGGGGACTGTCCCGCTCAGCTGGCCGCAGGCCATGCGGCCTGGGGCAGAGCGGCCAGTTGCAACAAAATGCGGCGGTGAAGGTGACAAAAAAAGATGAAACAGCCGTGAGAAGTCTCCTACTTAACCAAGAATGGCAAGGCGACAGTTTCTGATCTTGCAAGTGTGCAATGTCTGTTGCCCTGACTGCCGTCTAGCTAGTAGCCAAAAATACAAATTGCAATTTCCCAGTAGATTGCACCGGCGACCAGGAAAAGGAGAGAGGCCAGAGAACAATCCAACTCGTTGGCCTTGTGATACTCAAAATCCAAGAGCGTCGGCAATCAGATGCAGACAAGGACCCGTCTTGGCTCGTTGAGCGGGAGGGGGTGTGGCAGGATGAAAAGAACAGAGAATAAGAAATGAGATTCAAAGAAAGAGAGAGAAGAATCTGATTCTGAGAGGGGGGGGGACAATATAGGATTTTCGTACCTGCCCCCTCTGGAGGCCCCGAAAATGTTGTTCCTTTCCGCGAACAAGACTCGACGTTAAGTCACGCCACCGACACCACCGCCTTCCGATCTTGGGCCTAGAGCCTTCGGCCTTTTTTCCTTAAAAGCAACACAATCATCAAGCCGCCACCGCGCTTGCTAGTCTCAGGTTATCTAGCACAAGGAGCCAGCTTTCAATTCCAGCAAAAGCACTAGAGATCAACCACTTGCGCACTTTTCTTCCTCCTTCAGCAACCTTGCGGCGGGATGTGATCAAACGGACCCGCTGCTCTGGCCAAAATATGGTTTCGTAAAAAAAAGTCACCCCCCACACCGCCAGCGCCGTCGCCACAGCCCTGGAGGTCCCCAGTGTATCAATTCTCTCCTGGTCTTTGGGGCTGGTACAGTTCAGTTCCCTTCCCAGAAAGCATCTGAACTCTCCATCAGACTTGAACCTTTCACCCTTTGAATCAACCAAAAGGAAGACACGAAGCAAAAAGGCAACACAAGCAAAAGGAGAAGGCTGTCCTGAGAGGCAGACTTGATTTGGACGAGCTGGGAATCGAACCCAGGACCTTTCGCATACACTGACCGAACCCTGATTAGACAGGAGACTCGTACAGGATGCTAAGCGAACGCTCTACCAACTGAGCCACACGCCCGTTGATTTCTTGGTGGATGATGCTTTCTAGATCCCGGTTTGCGGCATTTAGTTGCAAAGTTATTGTGGTGGAGTTAAGAAGAATTTTTCTTCTCATGGAGTCATCGCTGTGGTGGAGACAAAAAGGGGGTTTGGGATGTGGGGATGTCGGACCCCAAAAAACTCGGGGCTTCACCCAGATGGACGGGAATCAAAAACATATGCTGACCCAGACCCGACTTGAACGGATAACCTTTCGATCTGGAGTCGAACGCGCTACCAATTACGCTACTAGGCCGCTTGCTGTTGATGATGCTGCTTTCAAACTGCATTCTTGATGCGGGTGGCCAAATCTCGTGAGAGAGACACTCTGAGTCTCGACCATCCTAGACCAGATTAAAGCACAAGGTACTGACGGGAGGTATGAGCTCAAGGAAAAATCTGAATAGCTGAATAGCAGACATTTCAAGCTAAAAGTAACCTATCATTAGTTCAAGAGCCTGACGTTTAACTAACCTGTAACAAGATCTAAGAATAACACAAAAATAGTGGGGAGAAGATCCGTATCGCGACGTAATCCCCACGGGGCTCCAAGTTTTTGTTTCTTGTGTTGTGCATGGTCTTTTTAGCTGTATGTTAGAAAATATAAGAGGGGCTGCGAGCGCAAGAGCTGGACAAAATGGCATAGGCAGAAGCATTACTGGACGGACACAGAGCGACCACGGATCATCATCGTATGCTTAAACATGGGAACCTGTAGTTTTAAGACGTTGGATTTATTGGCTGGCTGCAAGTTAAGGCAGGCAATGGAAATAGTAAGTTAGCGAGATCGCGTGATATATCTTTTGAAACTTGTACGTTATCAGTATGGTGATGGATGGTTTGGGAGAGGTGAAGGTAGAGGGAGACGAAGATGATGGAGATGAGTGAAAAAGGAGACACCAGACAATAACGTTAATGAAAAATGAAAAGAAGGAGAGGTTGGGTAATTATGTCTTCCGTAGAACCACAAATTTTCTACTTCCTTTTCGAAAATCTGAGTAAGAGATTAGAGGGTATTAGACAAAGCTCCTCCGATTCGGGGATGTAGACTCCGGCCCTGATAGCTCACCCCCACTTCCACCCCAAGCATTGACAACCCAAAACCAAACCTATTTGCAACTCTCATCGGGACGGAAACGCTTGAGCCGCTGTTTCAAAAATTTGTTACCGAATGCTCATGCATCCGGTCCCGACACCAGAACCGTCACGCTGCAGGGCACTAGCCCCCACGACTTCGGGAGAGGGCCGGAAAGGGTCAATGACAGGCACAATTCCGGCAATGGCAAACATTCAGATTGTCTGTGCGTTGTAAAGGGGAACGTGCTGCCGTTCCGGGGGTATTGGAGAGGTTGAGGTGAGCCATGACAGAAGAAAACAGCAGATTGGCGTTACCCCTAAGCACCCAAGACGCTCACACCCGAGATCAGTCAACAAGTCCAGGGTCGAATAAGATTATCAGATATGAACATTTAGTTTTGTAGATATGGCACGACAGGGCTGCACGTGCCCACCGAAAGACAAGGAAAAACGCTACAGTTAGAGTACCATAACAAGTCTGTCAGCCAAACATTTTGCCTCCCAAGATACCCCTAACACCTCACTCAGGACGAACCCCAATTCAAGACCAAGCAATCCCTGAGAACACACCCCCTACTCAACGCCGCCTACCCCTTATGGTACTTGTATCTTTGTACAGCCACCCAGACACCCAGAACCAAGTGAAGAAAGCCTCAAGCGAGAGACACCTCAAGTAAACCCCCTAAAAAGCCAAAACCGAAGTCTGAAAAGTCATCGACCCACTCGCACCATGTCCTACTCCTCCTCCACCCCACTCACACTCCCTCGCCCTGCCGATAATCCCCATGATGTCGACTCCCTGCCCTTCCCCATGCTGATGCCCCGCGTGCCCATCCGCATGCCCATGTCCCGCATGCCCATGATGCCCTCACATCCCCACCACCTCCTGCCATCCCTCCAAATACCCCTCATGCCTCCCCGGCCCCGTCAACAAATGCAATCCCTACACTGACTCGCGACCCCCTGCCTCACCAGATTCTGTATCGACCTCTCACTCCCATCAAATACATCCCCCGGAAACACCGCACTCCGCTCACTGACCAGCTTGCTCTGGTCAAATGCCCCTTGCTCCAGCAACAGCACCGCACACCGCAGATACCTCGCCTCCATGTGAATGTCCGACCGCACGTCCGTCCGTTGAATGGCAAACTTGATCAGCTGCAAGGGCGTGTTGCCGCAGTTGTTAAACGTGTTGACGGCGGCGCCTCGCGCGCAGAGAAGTTGGACCGCGGGGACGAGGCCGAATTCGGCGGCGTAGTGCAGGGAGGTGTTGCCTTCCGTGTCGCGGCGGCCGAGGTAGGCGGTGATCTCGTGTGGGGGTTGTTTTACGAAGGGTTCGAGCAAGGCGTTGAGTTTTGTGGTGAGTTCGGCGTCGGAGAGGCCGCGGCCGGCGGCGGCGCGGCGGAGGAGTTTCATGAGCGGGGAGCGGCGGACGGTTTGGGCGTTGCTGTCGTGCGGGTCGAGGTGGGGTATGAAGAGGTTGGGATCGTGGTCGGTGGGGTGGAGAGAGACGACAGATTCGGAACCGAGGGTGGATGTGTCGGCGATGGAGGGGTTGTTATGGGTGTTGGGGGAGAATTCCGGGAGGTAGCGGCGGATGAACTCGGTTTCGTCGCCAAAGATGCGGTGGAGTTTGGGGGCGGTCCGTTCGAGGTTTCGCCGGACGCTGTGCCAGAGCCGTTCGTTGTTGGCTGACTTGTTGGCGACGAGAAAACGGGCGGCGCCGTGACCTAGTTCTTTGAAGACGTACTGCAGCGTCTCGATGGGGAACTCCTGCTTGGCAACGATATGCTGCAGAAAGGTGTTTTTGTCCACGTCCCGGTGGCAAAAGTCAAAGCCCCCGGACCGCAGCGTCCGGATGAGGCCGAGGAAGGCAGCCGGCCGCATGCGAGGTTTGTCTGGTGGATCGAAGACGTGGAGGAACGTCTCGCCGCGGTGGTTGACCATCTGGACGTCGTCGACGCGCCGGAGGATCAGCTGGAGAAGCGAGACGCGGGCCCCCCAGCGGGCTGCCACGTGGAGCAGCGAGTTCCCGTACTTGTCCACCATGTTGGCCTCTTCGTCAGTGACGGTGAAGTCCTGAAAGTCCGAGGTCTCCGCCTTTTGAGCGTCAATGGCCTTCGACAGCCGTTCATGCACACAGCCGGGCTGCCCATGGCCGCGGCCGACATGGGCGGCACAGCACATGCGCACCAGTGCAGCGTTGAGATCCTCGGTGGTGGGGTTGACGGTGGAATACCTGGGTTTAAAGAAACCCATACCAGGGTTGCTGGCCCCCTTGAAGCCTTTCCGAGGCTTCTCCTGGAGCATAGACAGAAACTCTTCACGGGTCATTTTGCTGAGGGCTGCGTTGGCGCCAGAGGAGTTAATGTTAGCGCCCTTGGAAGATGCTGAAGAAGACGACCGTGCCAGACTAGAGATTCCAGACGAGATGCTCGACAGGACCGAGGCCCATGACCTGCGCTTGGCCGATTTTGTTGATGGTGTCGTCGAGGATGTTCGGGACGGTGACTTGTCCTGGCGGTAGATCTCAGACGCTGCCGCTATTGAGCCGGTGCTGATGGCCTGCGGAGTCGACGCTGGAGATTCGGACTGCTTGATGGTGACCGGGCTTTCAGAAAAGATGGGTTGCAGTGGCTCGATAGGGGATGGTTCGACGAGTGTTGGTTCGATGGGCGGTTGGTCGATGGACATGCGGATTCCTGGCATGCCGACGCTGTCTTGGTAGTAGCTGTACGGCTGAGTGTTGTCGAATCTTCGGCGAGCCTTCTTGTTCCTTACCCTCCGCTCTGCCCTTACCGACCTCAGAAAGCGCACGCGGACAAGCATGGTAGCCAGATCCCTCGGCCGCCAGTCGTCTATCCTGCGATCCGGGAGAAGGTTCTTCAAGTGTTTGTGTGAGTTGCGCTGCCTAATCGCCCGAGTCTATCATCAGCAGATGCGCCAAACACAGCCGGGTGCAAGGGGTGCGCACCTTGGGTCAAATGTGCCATCTTTTAGGCGCTCGAGGATGCGCACGAGGGGCAGCCGTTCGCTCTGAGTACAGAGGTAGAGGTGCAGCAGCTTCTTCTGCTTACCGGGCGGCCATGGCTTCTCACGTCTCCCGCGGCGGGGAGCAGGCGGTGATACAGCAGTACTGCTGGTGGATGCCATGAGTTCCATCATCAGAGCAGATGGCGCTCACTCCGCGCGGTGTCGGCCCCAGCCAAACAGCGCCAAGCAGCGTCAAGCAGCGTCAAGGTCGGACGGTTCCTCCGAGATAACAGACCCAGCTCAAACCACTCCTTTGTCAAACAGTTTCGGAACGTGACAACTCGGGAGGGATGTCCAAAACAGGTCTTCAGGCATTTGCTTCTGTGCTGCTCGGCCCATTCAAGACTCACGAGTGTCGTCGAATCTGGGGGTTTTCTGAACCTCGGCGAGTGTCCGCGACGGCGGACCGAGATGGTCTGGCTGGTTCCGTTCCCTGCAGTGGCTTGTCCTCCTGTGACGACGAGGCGTTCGGGAGTGGCCGTCTTTTTGCTCTTTTTGAACAGAGGTGAGCAGAGGGCAGCTCCAGCACGAACAAACACTCAAACCGTGGTTCCATGGTTCTGAAGAGGCCCCAGCACGCCCCCTGCCTGAGCGTGGGCGCTGGGGGTGTCTCTGGGCACTGTACCAAGCCCAAATTGGTTCTCGAAGGCGTCCATGGCCAATCACTCAGGGGATGGATCATGTTCTTGGTACGTTGGTCTGGACTCTCTCGGATCGGTTGTTTGCCGTGGTGCTGTCACCTGTTCGTCTGGACCCTTGATCGACAGCTGCCGCCGGCAGTCGCCAGATGCCGGATTGCTGCCACCTGCCAACCTCGATCGGCTCCATGTTCGTCCGCCGATGCACGCGGGAGATTGCCTTTGCGAAGAT